ATCAATGCTCACGGGTTAATACATATTTAAAGCTGGAATTACATTTCTTCATAAGCAATGCCTGTATATGCCTTATTTTTGAATTCTGATGCCAAAAAAAGTTTTAAAATTTTAACCGCCGAAATTTTTATGTTTAATCTTTATCTATAATCAACAAATAAATTTATTCGGTATTTGAAATTACCATCAGAGCTATGATACATTATTAAAGTCTGCGCATGCATAATGCAATTTTAACTCAATAAAAATGTGCGTTAAATAAAAACGTCTACGCACGCATAATGCAATTTTAACTCTATAAAAATGTGCGTTAAATAAAAACGTCTGCGCATGCATAATGCAATTTTAACTCAATAAAAATGTGTGTTAAATAAAAACGTCTGCGCATGCATAATGCAATTTTAAGTCAATAAAAATGTGCGTTAAATAACAACGCCTGCGTATGCATAATGCAATTTTAACTCAATAAAAATGTGCGTTGAATAAAAATTACCTTTTGTTATTGTTATTATGTGAAATTAATGAGATTCACTTAATTTTCGAAGAAAGCGGTTAAAATAAGAACATAACGAATGAAAAGTAGTCGTGGATGAAATACTGGTAACTGACACAATATAAAAGAAATCTACATTCCAATAAGAATATATGGTAATATTAACATTACAATATCTGATGGATTTCAGTCGCTATATGACAGTAACTGACCCGATAACTTGGTCGATATATGACAGTAACACGTCACCTGTCGGGCTCAGTAACCTTGCAGAACCCCAGGGATCCCTCACATAAATAAGTCTTGACTATAGATTCCAAGAGCAACATAAGAGGAACCAAGAACAACAAAATTCGGATTTCGAAGGATCGAACACGTCAGAAGTGGATATGGCTACAATAAGTTAAAATGAAATTAGAGCAACAAGATGAAATCATATGTCCAGAAAGTTTCTTAACTATGAAAAAATCTGCACGTCCAGATAGTTTCATGAAGAATCTGCACAAATGGGACAAAGCATAAGAGGGTTATCTGCCTAAGAGGAGAAATGCCTTCGTGGAAGAAATTTTAAGGGAAATTGGCTTCTATCCGCATCACATATAGGAAAAACAATAAACCAATGAAAGCGTCTACGTGGCTATCCCGTTATCTGAAATCTGATTCAGATCTAACTACCAGTGTTCAGTGACTTTACTGCTCGGTGCTGGTAGGTTTATTAGTCCAAAGGGATTTGAATCCCGAAGGACTATTAGTTTCGTTTTGGCATTTTGCGTCGGACTCATAAATGTCGGTTCACTTTTCAAACTGTTGCCACAAAATGTTAGAGTCCTGCATTATATTTGAAGAAATTAAATAATGAAAAATCTGCATAAATGTATGTATATTTCTCGTATTGTGATAAAACAACGGTACATAGAGTCATCGAATTTTGAATAACGTAATCCTCCAACGAATATGAGCATGTGGAAGACCAAATTTGAAATTTGAAATTTGTTTTATGATCCATTTCCTACTTTTTAAAACTTTGACGAATTTTTGATTAACAAACTCAATGATTTCAAAGCGAGCAATGGCAACGTTGTGCAGAAAAAACATTTTTATCTCCAGCGCGTGAGTCTCTGTATCGGAAATTCTAAAAATATGCTCGTTTTTAAAACTATTTTGCGATATTGCTGTTGCAACTGGATCTTATGGTTTAAGTGCGAGGAACATGATATTTTAAAGAAAAGGTAACATACAAAATGTTAAAAAACGCCCCTTTGGACGTAATTTTAAATGTGAAACATTTAAGATGTTTTTTATTTTTTTTTATTTTTATTTATTTATTTTTTTTTTTTATGTTTGTTTATTTGTTTACCGGACTTAAAATGTTATTTAATTTTTTATTAAATTCCTTGAGAATAAATAATTTATGATATATTCATATTCTAACGCAATGACTAACTACACTAAATTTTATATTTCATTTTCTTTCAGACCCTGTGTATTTGCACCTTGAATTATCAGTATATTTTTCATATGAATTTTTCCATGAATTGAAGGAAGTATAGAATTGTTCAAAAATGAGTATGTTTATTTTGTACTTACCTATTATCGCAATTACTTTAGAAAAAATCTCCAAATTTTCAAAATGTGTGAAATTTTTTTTATTGTAGTTAATATTATTATTTTCTAGTCTTGTTCCGTTCTCGTGTGCGTTCTTATTATATTCTAATCATGTGTTATTGTATTCTAATTAGTGTTATTTAGCTAGTATTATTGTATTCTAGTCTTTCAATTTAATGTTATTGTAGCTATTGTAAGTCTTGTTGTTATGGTAGTCTAGTTAGTGGTATTATATTCTAGTCTAGTTCCATTTTCGTATGCGTTCTTGTTATTATATTCTATGTAGGGTTATTGTATTTGAATCTTGTACAATTGTATTCTAGTTAGTGTTATCGCATTCTAGTCTTGGTTTGGTTTATTTGATTACAGCAAATTCTCAAGGGCTATTTGCGTAAGGTGAGGGATGCCTTCGTGGAAGACTTTCTAAGGGAAACTTGCTCATATACACATTACATATGGGAAAACCACGAAAATGCCCATGCAGCCAGCCCGTTCACGGTATTCGAACCTCGGACCGAACTACCAGTGTTCAGTGACTTCTGTACCGCACGGCCGATGGTGTGCCTATTCTAGGCTTGTGTTACAGTATTCTAGTTAGTGTTCTCATGTGAGTTCTTGATGTTATATTCTAGTTGGTATTATTATGTTCTTCTAATTAATTTAATATAATTTTGTGCTGTTGTATTCTAGTTAGTGTTTTTAGTTAGTGTTATTGTATTATAGTCTTATATAATTGTATTCCGGTTAGTGTTATTTTAGCTAGTACTATTGTATTCTACTTAGTATTACTGTATTCTAGTCTTATATAATTGTATTCCGGTTAGTGTTATTTTAGCTAGTACTATTGTACTCTACTTAGTATTACTGTATTCTGGTCCTGTGGTATTGTATTCTAGTCTTATATAATTGTATTCCGATTAGTTTTATTTTAGTTGGTACTATTGTATTTAACTTAGTATTACTGTATTCTAGTCTTGTGGTATTGTATTCTAGTCTTGCCCCATTTTCGTATGCGTTCTTGTTAAATTATATTCTAGTCAGAATTATTGTATACTTGAATCTTGTGCAGTTGTGTTATAGTTAGTGCTATTGTATTCTAGTCTTGTGTTCTTGTAGTTTGCAACTGTATTCTAGTAATGTGTAATTTTATTTTACTCTGTTATTGTAGTTACTGTTATTACATTCTAATCTTATATTATTTCACTTTAATTAGTGTTATTAGTCCAAAGGGGCAGATTGCCTTGAAGGGCTATTGTTTTCGTTTTGCGATTTTGCGTTGAAACCTTTAAAATGCTGTATCACTTTTCAAATCGTTGCCACCAAATACTTTCGCCCTGTATTATATTTGAAGAAATTAAATAATGAAGAATCTGCATAAATGTATTCTCGCATTGTGATAAAACAACGGTACCTGGAGCCATCAAAATTTGAATAACGTAATCTTCCATAGAATGTGTAGATGTGGAAGCCCTAATTTGAATTTGAAATTTGTTTTATTATCGATTTCATATTTCGTAACACTTCAACGACTTTCTGATTAACAAGCTCAAGGATTTCAAAGCGAGGCATGGCAACGTTGTAGAGAAAAAACAGTTTTATCTGCGTGAGACTGCGCATCGAAAATTCTAAAGATATGCTCATTTAAACATTATTTTGCGCTCTTCCTGTTGAACTGAATTTTATGGTTTAAGTGCGAAGAACATGATATTTAATAAATAAAGGTAACACACAAAATGTTAAAAAAAAAAAAAAACGCTCCTTTGGACGTAATTTAAAATCTAAAACCTTTCAGACTTTTTTTTTTTTCTAGTTTATTTTCGTATGCGTTTTTGCTGTTGTATTCTGGTTCCAGCAGTTTTAAAGATAATCGTTATATTTTTGGCTTCACTTAGTGTTCCTATTTGGGCGTGTGCTTTTGATTGCAGGAGAAATTTATAAAACAAAAAAAGAAGATTAATAATAATCTGCAAAAATATCTATTCGCCTATGTGGTACTCAAGGATTCCGGCAGTTATAAAATATTAAGAAACTTTCTTTCATACAATATGGTTTTCCTTGTTTAGATCGGACATTGTCCAACTAGACATTGGCTTTTAAGCAGGGTAAGGCTGTAGGTATATGTATATATGTTTGGCACTGCCGATTGTAATAAAAAGACTAGATGCCGTTCGATCACATAGCCGTTCGATATATAAAATTTCAAAGCTGTACTAATAGGTTTTGAGCTATACGAGACACTGGGAAGCAGTAGGAGCGAGTTAAATAAAAGCTTACGAAAACGCTCATATTAAAATATCTGATGTGGAGACCACATGATTTTTTTGTATGGCCTATTAAATTATCAACATTTTTTGCTAAATTTCATTTAAACTCATTTCCTCAAATAATTTCATTAGAGGTACATTTCTCATTCAATTAATTCAGTCCACACTTCGTGGAAGGCAAAAAATACATGAAACCTGAAAACATCTTCATTAAAAATTGAACAATATAGAAAAACATAAAACACCAAATACAGATAAAACAAATAAAAAAAAAACAATTTTTAGAATTAAATTTAGAGTTTCTACTCAAAAAGAAGCAATTCGGCCAACGGGCGAAAAGACATAGTTTTCGGTGCACAAAACTGAAAGTTTACTTTTGGTTCCACTGATGGTACAGAAACTGACATTAATTCACTATTCGGCTAAACTTTTTAAGTTTATTTTAATAAACTAATATTATAAGTTTAAATATCTGGTTTTACCTTCTATACCTTTTAGAATATCAGATTTTAGCTTTTCGAGAATTTAATTGCGGCTTTTGAAATTTCTGAATTTTTAACATGGGCTTTGACCGACAGAATGCCCCGCCTCTTCTAAACCAGACGACCGTAGACAAAGAACGTCTATGTACAATTCATATTCTTTGCCGTAGGCTTGGCGAAAATTGGCGAGATATTTGAATTTTCTCTCTTTTGTCCGAACGAGGTTATATTACCATCTAGCCTTGCCCGAGTGTGGTCACGTCCGTTGAATTATTTCAAAAGTTTTGGAAGGTGCTTAGCTGGTTTTGTGTTGTAAGTAAGTTTTAGTTTTTATATAATTATTAATTTATTAATCACGAGAAACTATTTTAAGCTGTCAATTTTAAATTCCATTGATTATAGACTTTATAGACATTTAAAAAGTTTTCAAAAAGTTTTTATTTAAAATTCATAAAATTAATGACAAAAATGTTTTATCATATGAGAACGAGATTAAGTAATTTTGTGTGCAAAAATCACATAGAATTTTATATCAGGAATAATAAAAGCGAAGAGCACTGTTGAAAAATTCATGAACATAAGGCCTGAAACATTTTGACAATGCAATTTGATTAACAGGATTCCTTATTTAAGCGACCACAATTTTATTATTCTTTATGTAAAATTATAATTATTGGATGCAGATTACCTAAAGGCTAAAAACCTTAACCGGAACATAAGAGCAACATAATTCAACCCTTTTTAAACCAAAAAATGTACAATTTACCAGCATATAAGAATAAACGAAACTGAGCTCACCGAGGTTACCAATTGTTTAGAGTTTACTAATAATTTCTTATATACTGACTGTATTATTTCTTTGTAAACTAGCCACTCGAGCGGCTAGTGGCCTGAATGAGTTATTGAGTCCAGTTTGTGTCATTTCATAAAAATATTTAGTATTTCTAATTAGATGTCTCAGGATTTAAATGCATTTTTATTTTAATCAATCAGATTGCGAAGTAGAAAAAAGTATTTTTAAGAACTTTTCTTCCTTTTCGACTTCCTATTTAGTAACTGAAAGATTAAATATCTTACATTTTACGCAATAAGAGCTCGCTGGTGCGCGGAGTTAATAAATATTCTATTTGAGGCAGTGGCAACTCATTACTTTCAAATGGCTGACAATTTATGGATTAAAATATAATCATATATTAACAATTGTGCTAAACATTAACGTTGGGCGGCACTTTGTTTGGGGGTCGTTTTAGATAAGGTCATAGAAGAGTCCTGTATAGTGTAACAAGTATTTATTAACCGGTGTAAGTTACACACGGACATTACATTTAACTTTAAGAAAATTAGAGTGTAAGAGTCTGATACAACCTAGAAAGTGGGACGCTTGGCTTTTACTGAAGTACTTCTCTGGCTACTCACCAGAGGGCAGCCTTGTTGTCACAGTTAGTTCAACAGTTTATGTTAAAGGATTGGTTACGCAATTAAAATATAATTATATATATATATGTAACCTTTCAATTTTAATCCATAGATTACAATTCATGGATTAAAACTGAAAGTTTGTTAAATAAAAATTCGTAAAATGTTTACAAAATATGAAATAAATATTAAAAAAAAATATATGTCATGATATGAAATGAATAATTTGGAGCTTGGCGCGGGCGTAATAGATGAGTAGCGAAGAATTTAGACTTACAGCGCTATTTTTAGGACATATAGATGAAGTTTCCAAATGAAATAGAAAGTAAAGAGGTTATAGTGAATTAAATTTTGAAATTTGCTTTTATATTTTTTATCTTTACACACACACACACATATATATATGATATATCTTTATATATATAAAGATAAAACCTTTCAGATTTTTATCTTTATATATCTGAAAGGTTTCAGATTTTAAATTACGTTCAAAGGAGCGTTTTTTTAACATTTTGTCTGTTACCTTTATTTATTGAATATCACGTTCTTCGCACTTAAACCATAAAATTCAGTTCAAGAGCAATATCGCAAAATAGTTTTAAAGTGAGCACGTCTTTAGAATTTCCGATACAGAGTCTCGCGCGCTGGAGATAAAAATGTTTTTTCTGTACAACGCTGCCATGGCTCGCTTTGAAATCCTTGAATTTGTTAATTGAAAATTCGTTAAAGTTTTACAAAATATGAAATCCATAATAAAATTGGGGATTTCAGATGCCCATAATCGCAGTAGGATGACGTCATTCAAAACTCGACGGCTTTTTGGACCGTTGTTTTATCACAATGCGAGAAATAGACATACATTTATGCAGATTTTTCATTATTTAATTTCTTCAAATATAATGCAGGACTCTAACATTTGGTGGCAACAGTTTGAAAAGTGAAACGGACATTTATAGTGAACAAACGCAAAATCGCAAAACGAAAACAATAGTCCTCCAGGGACAAAGACCCTTTGGACTAAAAAAAAAAAAAAAAAAAAAAAAAAAAAAAAAAAAAAAAATTGAAATGTTTCTTATTCTAATTATCATCCAAAAGTCTTTGTTAAGGTTTTTTTTACTCTCTCGCTGAGCTCGCAATCTACGACTGCTTCTGCATTCACTGCTGCCAACCCATATTTTTAGTGTTTTTAGCTTTATTATTAAGTATCCTTTTCTTTTCACTTACGCCACATACAGTACAACAAGAAAAATCACAAAATTTTTAAAAGCTGAATAGCAGTATATGTTTAGAAATTTCGAGTGTTTTGGCATACATGTTTGTATTTTTTTCAGTTCATTTTTCAGTTTTCGTCGTAAGATGGCTAACAGAAAAAAATATTTTTTTATTATTAAGGCTTAATGCATTAACATTATTTATTAAATATCACGTTGTTCTCACTTACGCCACATAAAATTCAATTTAAGCATCATCACAAAATCCACTTACGCCACATAAAATTCAATTTAAGCATAATCACAAAATATTTAAAAACAGCGAGCGGCCAGACCGACGAAATAATTATCATAAAAATGGACATAAGAATTTCAACGAGTCCAGCTAGTGTAATTTCAGAAAAATATTGAATATTTCTAATTAGACCTTTCATGATTTCAATACATGTCTATTTAAATCAATCACATTAAAAAGTAGAATTCTTAGGAACTTCTTTTAAACTGCCTAGTTTATTACTCGGTAACCTTCCAGATTAAGTTTGAAAATATCTTAAGCTTTAATGAACGATGACGCGTGGAAGATAAAACTATTTTATTTCCGGCCGTGACAGCACATTGTTTTCATAAAGCCGAGTTTGTTAATTAAAACTGAAAGATAAATATCTTACATTTATTGCAATAACAGCATTCTCACGCGCTGGAGGAAAAATATTTATTTTTGAACACTGCCGCCGCTGTTCGATTTCAAATACTTCAGTTTGTTAATCAAAACTAATTAAAACTTTGCAAAATATTAAATAAATAATAAAACAAATTACTGCTTCTAGGTGCCCATGTTCGGGTAGAGGACAACGTTATTCAGAATTTGATGGGTCTAGTTGCTGTTGTTTTTTCACAGTGCGAGAAAGATGTATACATTCATGCAGAATCTTCATTATTTATTTTTATAAATAATACAGGGTAATAATATTTCTGGCAACAGTTTGAAAAGTGATACGTCCGTTTGTCAACGCAAAATTCCATTTTGAGTTTAATAGTGCCTTTTGGGCTGAAAAAAAGGGCCCTGAAAGCATCTACTCCAAAACAGAAGAGCTTTTTTGGCTAATTTTTACTTCCTTGCACGAAGTAAAAAGGAAGTATTGTAATCGCAAAAATTTTCAGGCATCCTATTTCAAGCAAAATACCCATTTTGACAGCTATCGAATGCAATTTAACGATGCTTTTGTATGACATCTGTACGTAAGAACAGAATAAAGGACACATCTCCCCCCCCCAAAAAAAATTATAAAACTGGTTTAAAATGAATTCTGAAAAGAATTTTTCGTTTCGTCTGTGAGTACAACTACTTCTCACGTAACTCAAAAAAGCCTCAGAACGTTGAAATTTTGCATGTAGGACTGTTATAACATCTAGACGTGCACCTCGTATTTTGGTTGCAATCGGCCGCACCAAAAGCATATAAATATACAGGGGTTGGACAAAAATATGGAAACACCTTTAAAAAAACATGTTTCTTTGCTTAATATGGTGTAGGAAACCCGTTGGCATCCAAAACAGCTTGCAGTCTTCTCGGAATGGATAAATACAGTTCCTTTATGTTTGCCAAGGGAATATTATACCATTCTTCCTGCAAAACGGTGGCAAGTTCAGATAACGATGTTGGCGGTGGATAACGAGAACGCACTTTCTGTTCCAATGTAGACCACAAAGGTTCGATAATATTCAGGTCTGGTGACTGTGGTGGCCAGGGGAGATGGGACAACTCATTCTCCTGCTCAGAAAACCAGTCCTGAACAATGTGAGCTGTGTGAACAGGAGCTTTGTCGTCTTGGAAGACACCATCACCATCGGGGAACAAAGTTTGTACCATGGGATGAACTTGATCGGCCAAAATGTTCACATAAGTCTTGGCAGTCATGTGCCCTGACGCAGTTATCACAGTTATCATGGGGCTAGCAGAGAACCATGATATGGCTGCCCAAACCATAACAGAACCCCCGCCATGTTTCACTCTTGGCAACAAGCAGTCTGTATTATAGGCTTGAGATGGCGTTCTCCAGACGTAAACTCGGCCAGAAGTAGGAAACAATGTGAAAGAAGACTCGTCAGACCATATTACTCGCTTCCACTGCTCTATAGTCCAGGCTTTATGACTTAAACACCACCTTTTCCTGTTACGGGCATTAGCATCACTGATGAGTGGCTTCTCGATTTGCAGCACGGCCAGCAATTCCCTGTTTATGAAGCTCCCTTCTAATTGTTTTGGTACTCACAGGGTTCGGTAACACAACATTCATTTCAGCAGTAACTTTTGCAGCTGTGGTCTTCTTATTTTTCGTCACAATTGCCCTTAATGATCGTCTGTCACGATCACTCAGAACACACTTTCGTCCGCGCTGTGATTTAGCAGATGATGTTTTTCCGCTTTTCAAATATGCGGAATAAATCTTCGATACAGTACCTCTTGAAACACTAAATACCTCGACTACCTTGCTTACGGAAGCACCTACCATACGTGCTCCAACAATTTGCCCACGTTCGAAGTCTGTTAACGCTGACATAATGCAATGACAACCTCACATAACAGTACTCCGACAACAACTGAACTGTTTAGCACATTTACGAAGTTGTATAGGTGGCGTCAGTAGTCAAAAACGCCAGCGCCACCTACATATTTCATTAAAATCAATCTTTCTTTTCAAAGATGCATTTCACAAGGTGTTTCCATATTTTTGTCCATCCACTGTATGTACACATATATATACACTCTGTTACTCGGCTGAGTGAGCTGAGTTTCTTTATTCTTATATATTTGTAATTTGTGCATTTTTTGCTTTAAAAATGATTGACTTATGTTGTTCTTATCTTCCGGCTAAGGTTTTCTATACCTTTAGTAAATCTACATGCAATATTTGTGGAGTTATCAACAATTTAAAAGTTGTTTCAGTGCAACTAAGCCTAATGAATTTTGCGTTGGCGTATATGTTTATTTTTCATTTTAAACTTGGCAAAATAGCGGATTTGTTGCCAATCTAGAGAAACTAAGATTCGCAACAATAAAGATAACGCCTTCTTTTATTATCGCGAATTAAATCATGCTTAATCCATTCTGGAATTTATTCGAGGAAATAAAGTGTTTCAAATTTACTTCGTAATTTTTAATATAGATATTTTGAGTTTTATGTATTTTTGTCTTGTCGGGAAGTAAGAACTGAATTAATTGAATGAGAAATACTCAATCGTCTGTGAAAAACTGTTTCTTTTTTGTTTTGTTCACTTAATTTCTGTTATACATCGTTCTAGCTTTATTATAGTATTTGAATAGAACATGTGGCAGCGATTAGATAATTCTTTAAATGATACACATTTTGTGCATTCTGAGTTATAATATGGACGAAATGTAACGCTTTTAAGTGAACCTAGCGTCAGTGTCGCTATGCTAAACAAATATAGTGAGTTTTAAAGAGTGCATTTATTCTATTGTGGTTTATGCGCTATCGGCAAAGTAAATTTAATTCAATAAGTTTAAATGAAATGCAAGAAAAAATGTGCATAATTTAATATTCCGTGCAAGGAAGTCATGTGATGTACACATCAGATTTTTAATTTTACATTTACGTGTTGTCTTCAAGTGAATAAGTGGTAGGCTGCGAGTGCTAAGGTTAGGGTTATTGCATCGGTCAAATAATCTTCAGATATGTTATGAACAATTTATAAATGAACTATTGCGCTGAAGACATTATGAACAAATTTTTATTTTTTCCTCACTCAAGTTCTGTGAAGTTATCTATTTATATGTTTATTGTTGCATTTATTAGTTAAATTCTATTCCTTGTTTTAAGGGATTTGTTAATTGTTAAATTTATTGGTCATATTTTTATTGCTGTATTTTTTAGTTAAATTTTGTTGCTATTTTAAACATTATTTGTATGTTTATTATTGTATTTTTTAATTGTATGCTTATTATTGTATTTATTGATTTTATGTTTTTTGTTGTATTTATTAGTAAAATTCTATTGCTGTTTTAAAGTATTAAGCACATTTAAATACTTATTGTTGAATTAATTAGTTAAATTCTATTGCTATTTTAAAGAGGTTATTTTATAGGTTTATTACTGTATTTATTAATTGTATGTTTATTGTTGTATTTATTAACTTTATGCTTATTTTTTTTAATTAATTGTATGTTTATTTTTGCATTTTTTTAGATAAACTCCATTTATGTTTTAAGGGATTAAACATATTATTTATATGTTTATTGTAGTGTTTGTATATCTTTATTTTCGTATTTATTAGTTGGCCCACCAGCGGCCGAGCGGTAAAGTCGCTGAACACTGGTAGCTCGGTCCGAGGTTCGAATCCCGCGAACGGGCTGGCTGCATGGGCGTTTTCGTGGTTTTTCCCATGTGTAACGTGTATACGAGCCAGTTTCCCTTAGAAAGTCCTCCACGAAAGGCATCCCTCCCTTTAGGCAGATAGCCCTCGAGGCTTTACCATAATCACACACACACACACGTATTTATTAGTTAAATTCCATTTCTGTTTAAACATATTATTTATATGTTTAATGTTTTATTTATTAGTTACATATTTATTGTTGTATTAATCAGTTAAATTACATCACGATTTTAAAGGATAAATATATTATTTATATCTTTAATTGTTGTATTTATTAGTTATATACTTATTATTATGTTTATTAATTAAATTCCATTGCTCTTTTAAAGGATATTATTTTATCAAAATAGTCGTGGACAAGTGTGATGACAATTAAGTAGCTTCTACTTTTTATGATTTATTCTGTATAAATCTTTCAGCAAATCATTACCTGAAGGAAACATTGAGAGAAGTTATTTTTAAAATCTTTTTAATGTAATTTACTTCTCACACGACGCACAGATTATTTTGTAAGAAGAAATAATTGTTCATATCATATATATAGAATTTTTAGTATTAATTCAAAGTAGTTTTAATGTTTTTTCTTCGCATTTTTAGGAATTATCCGTCTGTCGTAGTAATCACTGAATTTCTTTCACTAGTGACGAAAGATGAAATTCCAGTTACTTCCCTACGTTTATCTAACCCCAGTTTTGTTGTTTGTTGTTGGTGCACAATTTAGTAAGTATCAGGTTTCTATTTACTGTATCATTTTGCTTTTGAGAATTTTTTTCTTGGAGAATGTGTGCAGATATACTACTTAGCATTTAATTAATTGGCATTTAAATGTTAATTACGTACCATGTTATACAAGAACTCACCAGCTACTCCAAGCTTGAAAAGCAGAAAGATCAATATGGTGTAAGCAAATTTTGTACTACTTAAATTTGGGCGTCAGTTTAAGCAGTTGGACTCTCAAATTTTACGGGAACACTATTTCTCCGATTTATGTTAGATGTCCTATGTAAATTATCAAGTACGCAGAAGTGCAAAACATTTTGTTTATCCTTGAAATGGATCTGGAATGTAAATTCGAATATGCTAATAATAAACATAAATAAATAAATAAAAATGGAAAATAAAAATGAAAAAATTCTGAAAGGTTTCAGATTTTAAAGTACGTCCAAAGGGGCACTTATTTTGTCTGTAACCTTCATTTATTAAATATCACGTTCTTCGCACTTAAACCTATAAAATTCAGTTCAAGAGCAATATCGCAAAATAGTTTTAAATTGAGCCTATCTTAAGAATTTCGAATATGCAGTCTCGTGATGCTGGAGATAAAAAAAGTTTTTCTGTACAATGCTGCCATTGCTCGCTTTGAAATCTTTGAGCTTGTTAATCAAAAATTCGTTAAAATTTTACAAAATATGAAATCCGTAATAAAACAAATTCCAAATTTGGGTTTCCACATGCCCATATTCGCAAAGTTACGTCATTTAAAATTCGATAGCTCTCTGTTGAACCGTAGTTTTATCAAAATGCGAGAAATAGTATATACATTGGCTCCCAAAAGTGTTCGTACACTTATGATTTTCATTGAAATAGGGCTCTATCCATTAATTGAAAGTAAACTTTCTGAATGAGATTTTAATAATAAGATCTATAATCTATTTGTAACAAATTTACATGAAATATTTTTAAAATATAGCGAAACTTTATTTTTAAGAAATTAATAATCAAAAAATGACAAAATTTTATCTCACACAAGTCTTCGTACACTTAAAAAAATCTTGACATATTAGTAAATACTTTCATTTTTCGTTAAATTAATATTTAGTAGGATATTCTTTAGCATCCACAACAGCTTTTAAAAGTTTGGAATTTTACTAGTTTTTTTTTTTTTTTTTTTTTTTTTTTTTTTTGTAATTTCTGTATCAATGTTCATCCATTCTTCCATCATGACTGTTTTGAGTTCGCTTTTCGTTTTGATGTCGTGTTTTCGTTTTCTAACCTCCAATTCTTTCCAAATGTGTTCTATGGGATTTAAATCTGGCGACTGAGGTGGTATTTTCAAAACCTGTGAACAATTATAGAGACACCACAGGCGAACGTTGAGAGCCGTATGCTTAGGATCGTTATCATGCTTAAAGTTGTTTCTAATACCTAAATTTTGGCTGATAACTTTAAGTTGCCTCTTAAAATACTTAAATGAAGAGAATAATTCATTATTCCATCAATAAATACCAAATTACCTAGTCCTGATGCTACCATGCACCCCCACACAAAAACACCTCTACCGCCATGCTTAGCTGTTCCAACCAGGTTGTTAGGATGAAGTTCCTCATTTTTTCTTCTCCATACAGTTATTCGATCATCAAAGCCAAAAATATTAAATTTGCTTTCGTCAGCAAATAGGACATTATTCCAGTACGTTTCGGGTGTATTTATCATTGATTTTGCGAATGAAAGCCTAAGCTTTCTGTTTTTCTCACTAACAAAAAATGTTTTACGGGCAGAACGCCCATGTAATTCAGCTTCTCTGAGAACTCGTCGAACAGTTTCGGGTGAAATTGAAGTAGAAAACTTTGCATTAAATTCTGCAGAAACTTTTACAGCACTCAAACGTGGGTTTTTCACAAATTTTCTAATAATAAATCTCTCATCACGTTTAGTTAACTTTCTCGGTCGACCTTTTTCTTACCTTGTTTTTTAATCCGATTTTCTTCTTTAAAGCGTTTTATCGCATACTGCACTGAACAATGGAATAAATTAACTAATTTAGCGATATTTCGAATCGATTTATCGCTACTATGGTGAAAAATTATCAATTTTCGAATGCTGTTTGTAATTTCTTTACGACTGCGACCCATTTTCAATAATAAATACAATATTATGAGGTAAACAATAAAAAATTAAAGCAAACGATTTTTTAAATGCCACCACAATGCAAAAATTTAAAAAAAGAGAGAAACGATAATTCTAATTTTGCTTTTATCTAAAAGTATTTCAGTGTACGAAGACTTTTGTGAGATAAAATGTTTGTCATTTTTTGATTATTAATTTCTTAATAATAAAGTTTCGCTTGTCATTTTTTATAATTAATTTCTTAAAAGTAAAGTTTCGCTATATTTAAAAATATTTCATGTAATTTTGTTACGAGTAGATTATAGATCTTATTATTAAAATCTTATTCAGAAAATTTACTTTTAATTAATGGATAGAACCCTATTTGAATGAAAATCCTATATGTACGAACACTTTTGGGAGCCACTTTATACATATATGCAGATTTTTCATTATTTAATTTCTTCAAATATAATGCAGGACTCTAATATTGGGTGGCAGCAGTTTGAAAAGTGAAACGGACATTTATAGTGAACCAACGCAAAATCGCCAAACGGAAACAATACTCCTTCAGCGACAAAGCCCCTTTGGACTAATAAAGGAAACTTAGTATTGTTCCATCGACCGTGAAAATTGTCTCCGATCGAGCCACCAAAATTGCTGAGATCTTGCCGGAGTTGCGCCAATTTTTCCAAGCCGATTTCGGAAGGAACTGACACCTTTTATGTCGGAAACAAATGAGTATTTGAGCTACTTCGTTTTTGCGCCCCCTAAAAAGGCTTTCTCCAAATTTCTACTATTCGGAGTGGCTAACAGTGCCTAACAATGTGATGTTAGGCACTCGGATTTTACCAAAAACTCTGTTTAGTACCCTGTGAATACACATTTCCGGCAGTTTTGTCGGTTATATTCAGATGACCATACCGCAACGCTTAATATAACATTATTTTTAGTAAGCATTTTAATCACGAAAAATTTCGATTATCATACCTCAATCGAAACATCAATTTTGATATTTCCCAAATCCCTTTTGACTAATATTTTGCGTGACGTCTGTACGTACGGGCAGAATAAAAGACTCTTTATACCGAAACCGATTGTAAAATGCATTCAAAATGGATTTTTTTCGTGACGTCTGTAGTACAAGTCTATATAATCTCGCATAAGAGAACTTAAGGACTTCGCTTTCAAGAGTACTGTATAATAAATGAAAGGTATAAAATTCAAAGTTCGTATGAATTTTGCAACCAAAGTGCAAATAAGAAATCTTCAGTCTGTGAATCTCGTTGTTAATGATTAAATATTTGTTATGCATGTATATTTATAAAAGTGGGTATCTTTCACCGTATTTCCTTCCGTATCCCCCCCCGCCATTTTAACGATAGTTTCGGAAAATAAAAAAAAATATATATATTCGCATAATTTCCCCCATCCTATACTGTGGCCAATTATATCCCTTAGATTATTTGTGTTTTTATTCAGGGGATTCAATTTGTAGTTGCATTTTTGTATTACCATTTCACCCATTTCATTTTCCGTTGCATTTATTATTTGAAACGTATTTTGTGCAGATTCTCATGTGATTTTACTTTATATGATATAAGAAAAAAAAAAAAAAAAAAAACGTCCGATGTCCCTCTTGGAAACTCTGTCATAAACTTATTCATTGGGGGTGCCCCTGAGACTTTACAAAGTAACTGAGCTAGAGCGCGACGTGTCCGGCTGAATTACCGTCATTAACGGCTCAGTATTTTTCAGATATTGTAATGTTAATATTATAAGGTATTTCTCCTGCCTTCTTGGCATGCCTTCGTGGTGTGGTGGTCTGCACGCTGGGCACGCATTCCAGAGGTCCACAGTTCCATTCCCGGCGAAGGCATTGTTTGCATATTTTACAATCCCTCTTGCTTCCAAAAAATACTAATGTCTCTACAATATTACTACGCATTCATGTTGGTACGTAGGTTTCTTTCAAAGAAATAATATTGTGACAGCTACCAGTATTTTATCCGTGATTACTTTTCATTTTTTATGTTCTTAATGCAAACACATTCTTCGGAAATTAAATTATTCCCATAATTTTCCTCTCTCAATTTTTGGACGATGAAATTAGTTTAAAAAATCTGATGAGTACACCACATGACTTCCTTGTACGGAATATTAAATTATACGCATTTTTTCTTGCATTTCATTTAAACTTATTGGATTGAATTAAATCTACTTCGTCGATAGCGCATACACCACAATAGAATAAATTCACTCTTTTAAAATTCACTATATTTGTTTACCATAGCGACACTCTGGCACTAGGTTCACTTAACAATGTTATATTTCGTTGATATTATACTCAGAATGCATAAAATTTATATCATGTGAAAAATTATCTAATCGTTGCCATATATTCTATTCAAATACTATAATAAATCTAGAACGATGTATAAATGAAATTAAGCAAACAAAACAAAAAAGATACAATTTTTCACACACAATTCAGTATTTCTCATTCAGTAATTTCAGTTCTCACTTCGCGACAAGGCATAAAAACATAAAAACTCAAAATATCTATATTGAAAATTACAAAGTAAATTTTAAACACTTATTTCCTCGAAAAAATTCCAAAAAGGATTAAGCATGATTTAATTCGCAATAATAAATGAAGGCGTTATCTTTGTTATAGCGAAGCTTAGTCTCTCTAGATTGGCAACAAATTTACTATTCTGTTTCAAATGTAAACAAATATGTCCGTCATGTTATTCAAAAATTAGGCTTAACCTCACTTAAACAGCTTTTAAATAGTTGATAATTCTACAAATATTGCGGGCAGATTTCCTGAAGGCATAAAAAAACCTTAACCGGATGATAAGAACAATATACTTCAATCATTTTTGAAGCAAAAAGTGCGCAATTTACAAACATATAAGAGTAAAAAAATGGAGATCACTGAGCCGGGTAACAGAGTGGATATATATATGTAAATATATTTATATACGTTTGGTGCGGCCGATTGCAACCAGAATACGAGGTGCACATCTACATGTTATAGCGGTCCTATATATAAAATTTCAAAGTTCTGAGGCTACTCGTTTTTGACTTATGCTAGATACACATACACACATACGTTCGTACAGACACCACGAAAAATTCGCTTCAGAATTCATTTTAAAGCAGCTGTATAATTTTTTTGGAGTAAAAGAGTATTTTATTCTTTCCTTGTGTACAGATGTCACGCAAAAACATCGTTAAATTGCATTCGATAGCGGTCAAAATGGATATTTTCGTTGAAATATGCTGCCTGAAACTTTTCGCTGTTACAATCCTTCCTCTTTACTTCGTACAAGGAAGTAAAATGGGGAAAAATATGCAAGGAAATACGGTTTTTAAAGAGAAGTATATAATGTTGTTTATATACTGTTAATCCAAGATCTTGTTATCGCAAATGACTTATAATTTTTTTTTTGTTGTTTTTTTCTTCCGAACTAGATGAATGCTCAATAAATGATGAAAATTGTACTTTTTATGGACGCGACGTAGAGTTATACATGGATCTCCTGTGGAGACTTGAGAGCAGCATTAATACTACGTTGAACTTGCCAGACTCTAGGTGGGATACGCTGAAATTCTACAATGGCAGTTTATCGCAATCTTTTTCTGAAAGTGATGATGATTGTGTTTGCCTGTTGTATGAGCTAAAGGATAAAATCTACGTCACTTATAATCTGGCATCTGCAATAGATTTATCATACAGCTGGGAGATTGCCTCCGATAACCTGAAACTGCAAGGAAGTATAACGATTTCTACTGAATTCCTAGACATGAAAATGTACTTACTTGATTATAGGTAAGTTTTTTTCCTGTTACGTTTTACATAAACAATACAGAATGCTGAAATGATTTTAACCTTTTAAAAATCATCGACGAGTTTAGCTGGCATTGCAGTTACGTAACCGCTGTGGGCGCAAACGAAAATACTCGCGTTTTACGACTCACAGATATCGTGCGTATTTGGGAAGAAAGAATATTGTTGTGTGCGTACGGGTTCGTAATGAATTGTAAGTGATAAAAAGTGAATAAAATTTAAAGCGGATTCGCTACAGTAAACAACAACAGTTATCCAAACAACAGCTGAATTCAGATATTTTATTCCGGCTTTTATAAGCTTTTTAAGTTTTCTGGAAAGCAAGCGAGTACAATTACGAGATATCTATTTGTTAAATGCGCGTGCTCCTGTATTTTATTTTCTCCGGAGCAGCTTTCTCTTTAAATAAGTCTCGTGCTGCATTGCATGGGAATATAAAACAGTTTTAATTACATAAAATATAAAAATAGCTAAATAAATACAAAAATTGTAACAATATCTTAATCTCGCAACCGCTGAAGTGGTAAAATTCAAAATATTATTTTTGATATGTTCGCGCACCATAATATCGGAGAACAGCACAATCTCTTCAATCCTGACAGACCACCCTAACGATAGCCTGAGAACAATTTAAACTTCAACGTACATTACAATATCATAAACATAAAAGAGCGCAAATTCCACGTTTCCATCAGGATTCGATACGATAAAATAAGTAATTCAATTAAACAAAACCTAAAACTGAATTCAGTGAAAAAAATCAACGTTGTTCAAATTTAAAATGTGCAAATCTACATGTATATAAACATATGCTCTACTCTAATGACTGCGTCATGAGGACAAGAGGCCTACAACTATTATGCTTAACCCTTTCCGGCACGCTATCTTTTAAAGTCGGAGTTTTAATAAAAAAAAAAAAATTAAAAAAAGGTAGGCAGTCTAATTAGGACTAGAGGACTACACAAATAAAATTTTGTGAATATAGCACTTATCGTTTTAATTCTGTGGGTATGCCCAAAGTGGCACACTGATTGAATAGAGCTTCGAAAAGAGTGCTGAAACGAGCATTGTTGTCAATGAACTGACCGATGAGATGCGAAGAAACAAAAAATGCAGACTTTCAGTTGTGCTAGATTATCGGTTTCGCCGTTTGATTTTAGGCAAGATTTCAAAGTAAAAATTTAAAACTAATATAGAATAAGGAGATTAGCATACAGCCAAAAAAATAACATAGAAATTTCGGTACTTTTCCGTTTTGCCGGCGCAAACGATAAAGTCGCCAATAATGGTTTCACTGATGCCAAACGGAATGAATATTTCGCTGGTAAACCTTTTACGCCTCAGTTTCAAAACAAGTTCATAGCCATTTCTTATCAGATTGTTTCTTTCAATACTGGCATGCAATTACATATAGAATTTTTACAACGATAGTTAAATTTTATCGCCTAAGACAATTCACGGTAATTAAGTCAATTAAATGCAATCGCAATTACACCGCTCACCCGAAGGCGAAATCAAGTGTTAAATTCATCAATTCTAATGAGAATGCACTAGCGAAGTAAAGCACTGCGGTTTTACATAATTTCTGATTAAGCTATTCGTACGAATTGAAATAATTCTTGCATTTAAACTTGTATTCCAAATTAAGATTTAACTTGAAATTAATGTAGATAATTACTGAGAGAATTAGATTTTAGTAGCGTAGTTTACGTGAGATGAGATCACTTGGGGTCACGTGATACGAACCGGCGAATCAGGATTTTGAACCATGAAATCATAGTAAATTTCTTAAATTAATGTCTTTTTACAAATTTATTGTCTTTATTTATTGGCTTTTCACAAAATTTTAAACCATATTAAAATGTTTATGCCTTCAAAATAAAAAAAAAAAATTCTTAGAATTAACATTTTTTATGTGTATACTGTATGTTGTCGCCAACAAAGTCTGCTTGGCGAGATTTGCGCCGGCGAAACGGAAAAGTACCGAAATTTCTTTTCAAACAATTCCTTTTATACTCTAAAAAAATCTGGAAGATTTCTTTGAAAAATGAGGGTCTTAAAAAACTAAACATGGCTAAAATATATGGACTGGTTTGTGTTGTTATGCCATCTACTATAAATAAAGAAGGTTCAGAGTAACCTATAGTAACTATAAATCCTTTTTCATTCAATTTTTCTGTGCGTACAGAAGGAAAGTTTTAGATGTGTCCAGACTGGACACACTGTGCCGCAAAGGGTTAACTTGTTGTTGAGTGTTCTGCGAAGGGCGAAAAAATACTATCGGTGCAACACAGCCAAAGTCCCGAGATGATATTACCCACACCACCCATGTCCATTCGCGGTTCTTGAAAGAAATATTTTGGAATCGTTTGTTGCTAAAACTGAACAGTATATCATAAGCTTAAAAATTGCACTGCATTACTTATAGGATTATTTACATCAATTTCATTGAATCATATATTGTACCAGATATTATAGGAACTTTACGGAATATATGCAAGTATCAAAATAGGAATTCATAGAAATATTTGCATACAATTTACAATATAATGGTGAAGAAAATATGCACAATGCAGGTCAAACGTTATGTGAGACTGAGTACTGGTGGACGAGACTAGTAGAAAAGCGTCACGAGTGATATGACCCATTGTTTCTATACCCCATTGCCTTTGCGAGTTGTTGTCATCTGAGTTTTCTCTTCAATGTTGACTCCGGATTGGAAATGTGTCCCGTAACCGGGAACATGTATATTGTGCCAATATGTCCACCTTCCCGTTTTCCTTGTGCCCTACGTGGACTTTGGATCCATTCCAGGGTGATTAGACCATAGCTGCTACAGAGAAGTTTCCTAATAAGCATATACCAATCTACTATTACAGGCGCCACTACTTATGGCTTCAGTAATAGATATGCTTCATCTGTGTATAACTGTTTTAAAGTGCTTACCGAGAGCTCACTTTACTGCTTTGAAAATTTCAAATAATTCTACCTGAAAGGCAGAATTAGTATTTCTTTTAATCTACGTGACCATTGAAAAATATAGTAACCATCGTGCAGAAGGTATTGGCTGTACCGTCCTTAGTTTTTGAGCCATCGGCATATATTTCAAGTTCCGCTGTCCCTTCTGCTATGTCACTCATAAGTGCCTCATAGTTATATTATGCAGGATAGGTTTTTGCCAATTGTACTGTCTTTTCATATTACGTATTCAGGTAGATGGCATCATGTGTGATGATGTCTACTCTTAATCGTTTGATTTTTACCGCTATGCCCCGTTCTTTCGCTACCAGACATAGCTGTTTGAGGTCTACAAAACTGATTATTGCATTTGTCGCAGTGCTGTGTGCTCTGCTGATTAAGCGAACTGTCCGGCTTTGCAGACTGAGACGTTTTCTAACTTATATTCAGCGGATGCTCCTTGACAGAGTGTTGGCACTGGTACTGTATGATACCACATTTTTAGAAGTGCTGAGGAAATGCGCCAGATTTTTCTGCACAGTGAGCAAACAGTTAAACACACAATGGCGGAAGAATTGCTCACTGTGCGGTGGCCTGTGACCTGTCATCTGGAGCAGACTTCTTTTGCCACCAGGCATAGCTGTTTGAGGTCTACAAAACTGATTATTGCATTTGTCGCAGTGCTGTGTGCTCTGCTGATTAAGCGAACTGTCCGGCTTTGCAGACTGAGCAGTTTTCTAACTTATTTTCAGCGGATGCTCCTTGACCGAGTGTTGGCACTGGTACTGTATGATACCACATTTTTAGAAGTGCTGAGGAAATGCGTCAGATTTTTCTGCACAGTGAGCAAACAGTTAAACACACAATGGCGGAAGAATTGCTCACTGTGCGGTGGCCTGTGACCTGTCATCTGGAGCAGACTTCTTTTGCCACCAGGCATAGCTGTTTGAGGTCTACAAAACTGATTATTGCATTTGTCGCAGTGCTGTGTGCTCTGCTGATTAAGCGAACTGTCCGGCTTTGCAGACTGAGCAGTTTTCTAACTTATTTTCAGCGGATGCTCCTTGACCGAGTGTTGGCACTGTTACCGTATGGTATCACATTTTTAGAAGTGCTGAGGAAATGCGTCAGATTTTTCTGCACAGTGAGCAAACAGTTCATGGTCGTCACAATGGCGGCAGAATTGTTCACTGTGCGGTGGCCTGTGACCTGTCATCTGGAGCAGACTTCTGTACTGTCGATATGCTTTATCTTTCAAGTGTTCTCTATGCGGAATCCATTTGAATTTATTTATAATAATGCTAAGGTATTTTAACGTTTTGTTTATCTTGACTGAGTGCTCTTCAATTTTGAAAACTGGGGTCCTAATTAGGGTTTCGGATTTCCAGTTACTGTGGCAAGCTTTGTTTTCGTGTTAAAGAGTAAGCTTATGCTGTGAGCATCAGTTCACGAAACAGTCTAACGTTTGATTTGCCCTGGTCTCTAATCTTCTTCTGTTACTTACTATTATGAAGAGTCCCTACTATTATCAAGCCCCTACTATTATCAAGAGTCATTTACATATGCTTGTGCATGTGTATTCCGACTGAGATTTGTTCAGTAGATTAAATGCTCTATCCACTACGAAGTTTCACAAGGTCGAACCAAGGCATGATCCATGTAGGACCTTAGTTTGTGTCTCTTGTGAAGATGCCTCTATCTGTAGTGACTCTTAATGTTCTGTGTGACAAATAGCTGCTGATTGCTAGAATGACATCATTTCTAAATCCCAGGCGGTCCAGTGAGTCGAGCATATCTGGTCACCAAGGGGCGTCAAAAGGCTCTTTGATATCAAACGGGATTATCACTGTTTACTTGCCTGTTGGCAAGACTGCTGTCTGTGATTATTTTGAGGTTGTACAGCACATGATCCACTGAAAGTCCTTCTTTGAACCAAACTGAAGATAGTTTTGCTGAGAACAGTCATCCTACGTTACGTCTCTCAAGAAGCTTACCTAAGGACACTAAGAGACAGATCGGCCTGTAGGAGGAGCGAGTGTCGTTAAGTGGTCTTGTCACTTAACATATCATACAGCAGTTAGTAATAGGACTCATCATCGTCCTTTAAGGAGGTTGTAAAATATTCCATTTTACAGCAAATATTGAGGCAGCAGACCATAAGTTTAGGAACTGCTCGAACATTTCTGTTATGATTATGTTGTCCAGTCCATCTGGTCCTGGAGCCTTATTTTGATTTAGCTTTTTTTTTTTTATTAGAATGGTCAATTCCGAATAAGAAAAAGATTTGCTTTTGAAGTATATTGGCTAGATGTAATGTTTCTAATTTACTAACTGCTGTATGACAAGGCAAATCTATACAGATGATGTGTCTTGAGAACAGATTCTAATGATATATTTCGCACTATCTTGACACTAGACTGCACACACTAGACTTGCAAGCGAGTATGTGCTTGCATTAAAAGCAGTGCTTTTGTAGATTGCGTTATTTACCAATTTGAAAGCTATACCAAATTTCGCTGTTGTATTAGTGTAGAAGGTCTGCCAGGCCCGTTTCTTGGCATCTAGTATTGCCAACTTATGCTTTGTCATGTTTCGTTTGAGAAGTATGCAGCAGAGCTCTCGTATTCTTTATCACGATTGGCCTGGCAGCGACGCCTGCATGCATTAAGCCTTTTCTTGAGCATGTGAAGATCCTCTGTCCAAGAGGTGGGTTAATTTTTAATTGAAACTTTTTTCAATTTGTAAGCTGCATAGCAGCTTGCTGTTATGTTATGTTAGATAAGAGCCTGTAGCTTCATCAGTAGTAGAGGTTTGAGTAGGAGTGGAAGAGACTGTTGGTGAAGCTTGGAATAATCTATTTAGTCTTAAATCTGATTTTAAAATATTTAATTGTGCTATGAAAGATTGTGAAAGAAATGTATTTGTAGTAGCTTAATGAATTCGTATCGAGAACTTCCCTGCTGCTAGGACTGCTGAATGGTTTTTCAATTGTTTCATTTCATCTTCTGAATTAATTTTTAGTATTTAGTTTACAATAGTTTATACTATTCATTTCCCAGGAGATAAATCAAAATAAAATAAAATATAAAGTAAATTAAAAATTTCTCTCCTCTCTCTCTCTCTATATATATATATATAGATATATATCTAGTATATATATATGTGATGTACCAGCTTTTGTCAGGAATAAATAGATTGTTGAAGAATCATAAATGTAGTCGTCGCTTAAATTATCAGACGATAAGTTTAAAAAACAGGATCCATTTATTATTGGTCAGGAGAAATATCAGTTACAAAATCAGATATCCGGAGTAAATAAAAAGAATTACTAATAACTTTTTGTATGAAGTTTACTGCATCGTGACATTTAAGAAAACGCTTCCGATATTCTTTTGCGAGTCTTTTTATAGCCTCTGGAAAGGCGGAGCTTCCAAGAAATGACGTCAGCCTCGTCAGCCATTCCAGTTTGCTTTAAATATTTCCAGACGATTCTAAAACTGTACGTGTAGAAAAGGCGGGAAAAACAACTTGACTACGGGGCTGTGGATTTAATTCCACGTACTTTCAAATAAGAGACCGTCGCCATTAAAAAATGAAAAAGAACATGCAGTTAGAATTTTACGTGTATTCTTGACTATGGAATTTTATTATTACATATATATATAGAGAGAGAGAGGGAGCGAGAATATTTTGAACTATAACCTATAAAATGTTTACCATCATCTTAGAGTAGATGTATTTCTAAGCATACCTGCAAAAAATTAGAGCTTTCTATTCAAAATTTCCGAAGATACACGTGAATTTATATATTACCGCCTTTTGAAATTTGGCATATTTGTTGAAAGCGATAATAACATCTAATGTGGTTTACGCATTTTGTTAAAATTATTTGAAAGTAGGAACGAAGTGACATTTTCCCCCCTCATGCACAATGTAAAAAGGGAAAAGAAAATAGGTTACCATAAATTAAGAAGTTCGCTAAGTGTTATTATTCTTGGCGCAAACTGCAAAAAATATACGCCAAGATAAATTTTTATATTTCTCCGTTAATTTCGCACGAAATTTTACAAAATTTAATATTTAGGCATAATTTGAGTCGTAGAATCGAAACATAGGAAAAAAATGGCATGTTATTTCAGAAAAGTGCGATTTTGTGTTAAAATACCTATATCAGAACAAAACTATATATAAATTTAGTATATATATCCTAAGTCGTGCTTTCGAGATATGAAAAACGCAATTTGAATTTCGTCAGTTGGCCCAGTAAAAACGAGAAAATATAGAACTGTCTTTTTTTTTTTTTTTTTTCTTCTCCCGTAGTGTACATAAGAATTTATCTCTCGAAGAACTCAAAAACTTTGTATTTCAGACTGCCTTTGCCTTAGTATCAATCAATCAATCAATCAATCAATGGAAGTATTGCCGGGATATTGCTGGTTTTACCCAATGCATCCGGCTCATTGACAAATAAAGCCATAATGACCATGTGTGTGATATACACACCTGTACATCAACTTAACAGATTCACGAAATAATAAATACAGAACGCTGAAGAAGAGAGTTGGCAACTCGATGCCAATGTCCGAATAATAACATTATCCACGGTCACATTAACCGGCGGCGTCTTTGTGTAGGTTTTCAGTTATGAAGAAAGATGTTTATCTGTTACCATCGTATTAAGAGATAATTATCGTATCTCAAGTTATTAAAAAAATCTCAAATTTATATATCTCAAATTATCAAATTAAGAGGCTATTATCGTATCTCAAATTATAATCTTAATCGTTTTTTCTTTTAGGGATGGAGGATACAAAATAGAGAACGTTGTTATTGAGCAGCAAAATGTTTATAGCTACTACAGTGACGGCGCGTTTTCCGATTTGTTGGAAAATTTGCCAGAAGAAGTTTATAATGCGATTATGAAAGGTCCTTTGAAGAGACTTATGGAGAAGACACTATTAAAGGCTTTCTCGGAACGACTGAAGGATCTGTACCGGGGAAGAAATCGAACGTCGAATAATTTAATTTAAATCACAGAGTTGCATTTCGTACTGATTATTTTTTAATGTATGTTTTTTCTCTAATAAAAACATTAGCTGAAATTAATCTCTACCTCTTTCGTTAACACATGCCGATTCTTTTATGTCAATAAAATTTCTCATGGGACAAATATTTAAGCTTTCTGAAAAAATTACTGAATTTTTTTAGAACACATACAATATGAATTAAAATTGATAGTTTGGATTACGCGCGTCCTAGCACATAGCACATGCAGTTTTTAATAGGTACCCAATTACGTTTTACAGCTTTTTTAACTTCTTTGTACGAAAGTGCTGTAATGCGAAAAATTTCAGTACTTAGATTTTAACAGAAATTTCCATTCTGAGCGTTCTCAAATCCATTTTTACAATTTTTTGCATGACATCTGCACGTATGAGCAGAATAAAGGAGTATTTTTTTCTAAAATGGAATTAAAATGGAGTGTTTCGTTACGTCTGTAGGTATGTATCTCACAGAAATAAAAAATGATGAGCAGTAGAACGTTGAAATTTTGCATACTAGATTGCTATAACATCTAATTATGCATGTGCCGAAATGCTGATCCACAATGAATAAGAAATTTGACACTCGAGGCAGATTTAAATCCATTTTTATTTAAACTCACATTTATAGCCACAATTCTTTTAGCACTAACCATGCCTATTTTCAGAACATTGACATTTCTAAATACTATTGGCGATGGGTAGTGGACACAGCGAAATAAAATGGCGTCCAAGCAGCAACAGAAATACAAGCCAATTTATCCAATATAGTAGTTAACCAAAAGAGGAAGGTTTTTGTTTACAAAGGTTTCAGTTCTCAAGGGTTTAGGTTCCAAAATAACTAAGTCACTAGCGTTACGAAAACTTTGCGCCCCAGATTAATCTAGGAATGACGCAATGAAGAAATGCTATTATTATTTTTAGAATAAAGGGGAAGTAGCCAAATTAAAAATAAATTAAGAGGCTATTATTAAATTAAAAGAATTAAACTGTATTAAATTTACAAGTAATTAAATTGTATTAAATTTACCTACTTTTTATCGTATACACACACACATATAGAAAGCAATTTATGTTACCGTCCTAAAAGCAAACATTTAAAAACAAAACATTTTTTAACTTTGTAATTGTTCACGCATTATTTGAAAAGTAACATTTACATTATTCTTGAAACAAATACCTTTTTGCTAAGTATTTTATACGAACAAATGACAGATGTTTAATAAATATGTTTCCTTTAAGCAATACGGCAGCGATATAAAAATGATCGCCTAAGACATGTTTCTAAAATGAATAATTTGCTGTTTGCTTTAGTACGGCAGAGTACAAAAGGGTTATGTGCCTGAGTGAAGGGGAGCCTGGCTCGTACCGTTATCACTGGGCTCAAACGCAGGCTAAACTACCTGTATTCAGCTAACCACTCACCTACTGCTAGGGCAATGGATGTCTAAAAGTAGGTATTTGTTCTAAATACAACGTGAATAGCATGCACTTTTATGGCACATGCACAAAACATTTCCAAAAGTACCAGTGCTGTACGTTGAAATGTACGTCCTAAGAGCACGGTTGTAAGATGCCCAACTTTACCCCTTCGAGTAGAATCTCCTTTGGAGCACATACTGTAAACGTTTCGAAAAGCATCGATGTTGTACGTTGAAACGTACATGCGAAGAATAAGGTTGTAACACGCGTGACTTTAGTACATCTTATAGAACGTACTTTATAAACCGAGCTGAGAACGTTTTGAAAAGTACTAATGCTCTATGTTTAGGTGTACGTATGTTATTATCTGTTAACAGGGCCGCTAAAATAAGTTACACGTCGAAATGTGATACGACGGAAAAATCAGGATAAATTAATAACATTATATGCGTTATAAGCCTTCTAAAAGTGATACACCGCAAAAGTGAGAATAAGCAGTACACTATCGTCTGATATATTTGTAATGCCCAAAATATATTCGACAATATATTTTGGGCATTACAAGCGTCCATGCATTAAAAGCCTTATAAAAATAATTCTAAGCCATATATGTTTTATAAGCGTTATTAAGCATCATGATAGAATTTAAATATTTGCAGATATTCACGACAATATTGATTCCGTTTATTCTCGGTAGAGAATCACATATTCAGATATTTAACTGCGTCATATGGTACGGAAGTATACCGGGTAAAGACCCGAAATTAATAACTAGTTACAGGCCGATTAGTCTGCTTCCTGCTTTAGGAAAGGTTTTTGAAAAAGTTCTAAAAATCAGACTTACCAATCACCTTGAGAGACCTCATCGACCTCATCGACTGTTCGCAATTTGGATTTCGAAGCGGTCATTCCACTTACGCATCAAATTTTAAATCTGGTTGAATATATTGCAGGCAACTTTCAAAAAAGAAGGCAGTCGCTGCGTGCTTCCTCGATTTGATTTCGAAAAGGCATTCGATCGAGTGTGGCACGTCAAGGACTTACCCATAAGCTCAGCCATTTCCTGCTCCCGGTCAGCTTTATTCAACTTATGATCTTCATATCTTTACCGTAAAACATTCCAAGTAAAGTGTGGAAATGCAATTTTCTATGAAAAAGATAATTTACAGTGGTGTCCCTGCAAGGAGCAGACCTCGCTTCCTGTCTTTTCAATATATTTATAAATGACCTCCCAAATCCCTTGGATTCCGAGATTCTAAAATACGCCTGACGACACTGTCGTACTTACGGAATTCTGTCAGCCCGCCTCTTTGCAATGGAAAAACTGTAATTCAAAGTAAATATCGTTACGAAATGCTGCGAAGATTGGAAAATCAATTTAAATTCTAGTAAATGCTGTGTTGTGCTTTACAGACGCTACAGGCAGAATGTAATTGTTAATACGGATATCAAAATTAAAAACGATACAGTTCCGATGGCTGACTCCTATTAGTATTTAGGAGTTATTGTAGATAGCAAGCTTACCTTTAAATACCATGTTACAGCCGTAGCGGAAAAAGCGAGTGCTGCGTTCTTTGCCCTTTACAGCTTGATTGGAAGGAAGTCTAACTTATCGATAAAAATCAAAAGATCACTGTATCTGTCCTTAATCAGACCGATTATGTTATACGCAGTGCCAGCATGGGCGACAGCCAACAAGACTGAGCGTGCTAAACTAGACATAATACAAAATAAAATACTTAGAGCGATTGTGAACTCACCGTGGTTTGTGAGGAACTCTCAAATTCAGGAGGATCTGAATATGAAGGCCATGCATGAACAAATTTTGATCACTTCACATAATTTCTTTGAAAGCCTTAGAACCTCTTCCTACGCTTCTATTAGAAGCCTGTGCGATTATGACCCTACTGTTGAATATGTGGTCAAAAGACCCCGCACCATACATCACAACCCGTCTTGGTAGTTGTATTTATGTAAATAGTTTTCAGCTTTTTTCTATGTTTTATAATTACGACTTTTGTTATTTTTGAATGCAACATTTGCCACCACGACCAGGAATGCCAGTCCCAAGCTCTGAAAGTTTTTTTTCGCCTCCGGGTGACAGATGTACCTAAAGTACATCTCTTTTATTTTACTACCGTGATTAGCCTTCGGCAACTCTGAACTTTTGGTAATAACTCTGTGTAGTTGAAACCAAGTGCGAGCGAAAGCAATTGGATTGGACTGAAGTATTAGTCATCTGTAAACGATTCCTTTAGCATACACTATCTTTCAAAATTTTATTCTTTTCTCTAGGGAAAACAAAACATTCCGATATTGTAAATAGGTCTTCTTGCCTAAGCCATTCGAGCAAGCAATCCGTTCACCATCTTTTAAAATGTTTATTAATAATGAAGTCTTAAGTCAAGCTTAGGTGTATTTTAAAAGTTTTCAACAAATCTACCAAGGCTTTTCATTTGCAATAACTGACAACATAAGAAATGGCAAAAAAAAGAATCATTATTTTGTATTAGGAAAGGGTTTTTTGAGTGAAAGAAATTCTCCCGGATAATGTTTTCCAGTTGCTTCTGATGCCGCTTAAACAATAGTCGGCAGTTTAAATAATTCTATAGTAGATTTAAAACAGATGTAACAAATGTATGGGGCGTATTACATGTTATTAACTGGCGACATCTACTGAAGAAAAATGTAAGTACAGACGTAGAAGTCGAAATGTAAAGCATGAGTACTTAATTCAAATAAAGAATATCGATTTCCGCTTTGCAGTAAAAGGCAACAAATATGAAAATTCCTACTTCTGATGTCAGTTGAAATACCTATGTAATTTCGTTCCCAGTAACTCGTTTTATTTTATAATCAATGCCTCTAGAATATTTCACTACGTTTCACTTTACACTCAACAGATGGCAGCACGAGCAAATTACAAAAATACCTAGTTTTCTAAATGGCCAATAGATGACAGCACGAACACTATTGCTTACCGAATGTTCAAAGCCAAGTAGTGTTGGAAACTTCTTAATTTTTTTCCTTATTTTTTTTTTTTTTTTAATTGAAATATATAAATTCGACCGACTTTGACTCCAGCTCGAGTGCATCCCGGTGAGGTCAAATTCAGTGAAGAATTTGTCTGTTTTATTCAGTGGTTACTTCTGCGGCATTTTTAATGACTAGGATCATTGCGAAGTACTCAGAATGGTCAATTTCTGTTTTTATCCCTATTTAAGAAGCTTTGTTTCAATTATTAGTATAATCGCTGGGACTAATAATGAAGAATCTGTATCTATATGTATGTTTTTCCCTCTTACACTGACGGAAAGAGGCCGCCAAACATATGTAAATCCTCTACCCAAACATAAGATCAAATTAATTTTAAAGCTCAAATTTTGAAATTTTTTTAAAATACTTATTTCATATTTGCTGCCAATTTAATGACACTTACTTCGGTTAACAAATTCTACCATTTCAAAGCAAATTCGTCAAATTTAATCAGAAAACTCAGCGACTTAAACGATTTGTGGCGGCAAAAGCGTAAGGTACCTATGCTTCTAATTTAATCAGAAAACTCAGCTATTAAAAAAAAAAAAAAAAAAAAAAAAAAAAAATGGTGTTCCCGAAATAATGCATATTTTACGCGTCAGTGCA